AATTAAACAAACAGACCATCAACATAAATGTGTTTCTTGAAGAACAGTAAAATGCAAGGTGGTTTCAATCATTACTGTGTAGATAATGTATGTAAAGATGAATCAAACAAGGAAATTTACCTTTAATCTGTTTCCGCAGGTCCTGAATCAAGCTGTTCTGTTCTTGTAGTTCATTTTTAGCAGTGATCAGATCTGTTTTTAGCTCAGCAATTGAAGCTTTCAGCTCTTTTAGCTCAGAGTTGATATTCACCACAGGAGTCATAATATCGTCATCCTGTGCCGCACAGAAACTCAACGCTGAGATCAAGAAGATCTGAAATAAAGCCATGACGATCGTTTCTCTAGAGCTGAACAGAAAAGCGAAGGCTGTGCTTTGTATATACAGCCACTGCTGGTTAATTATTATTAATGTGGAGTATTTGGATCATGAAGTCAGATTTGCTGCTTGCATTGGGGGAAATACACACAAACACAAGCACTCACGATCGATTAATCAATGCCAGAACTTTCTAGAATTGCACAAGGGAATGTCCCAACCATAAAAAAGACCTTATTATTTTGCTTGATTCTGGTGTAAACATGCACATTTCAATGAATGTATCTTTAGAGAACTTAATGGTAAATATACAATTCTTTGGATTTACTCTTCTACATCACCAGTGTGAGGTATAAAGGTTTTTTTATTTTTTTGTTTTTTGTTTCATTCATTCATTATTTTTCCTTGGACATAAGTGTGTATCGTAACCCTTGACTAATTGTGACACCAATAATAAAGCAAACATAAAAAACTAATATTAAACAAACATATTTTATTCAAAATGATTTCTTAAGCAACCTTATATTTATTAAACCATAATAACATTTCCAATAATTTAATATCATAATCAACTTTTAATTTTGCAGGAGCATTGCTTAGCATTATCTTTTGGTAACACTTTATAATAACTACACACTATAAATCATTTATTAAGCATTAGCAAATGGTGAATTCATTATCTGTTAAGCATTAACTCATTAGTCACTACATTAGTACACTACACTACATCACTACATTAGTAAGCAGTTTAAAACTGCAGCTACAAATGCTCTATTCTTGACTTACAAACATATTTATAATGTGCTTGATAATTGTACTTTCATACTTTGCTAATGGTTTATTTTTTTCATTACTAAATTAAGTATTGCATTATTTACAAATAATTTGTATTCAAGAGTAGTTGAGGGTTTTTAGAATAATTCAGAATGAGTTAGTAAATGATTAATAAACTATTGAAATTAACGTTTATATGTCTTATTATTCAGGCATATATTATTGGTTACTATGTATGTTAATAAATGCTTTATTAACTCAACTTTATGCAGTTTTGTGACCTAATCTAAAGTGAGGACTATTCATGCTTTATAAATGCCTTATAAATGACAAATAAAGGCTCAGTTAAATTCTAAACAGGAAAAATGACATTATTCATTCCTGTTCATTTAAAGATATACAAATGAAACTGTACTTCAAATAAAAATAAATCTTTGCAACCTAATCTAAAATAAAATCACTGTAGAGTTTAAACATTACATCATATTATATTGTTAAATTATTATATTGTTGTTGTTTTATCCAGTTTTATGTCGTATTTTGAGACTCCTGTTATTTGGCAATGTTTAAACTTTACAGTAATTTTACTTTTTAGAAAGATTGCACAGATTATTGTTCATTTGATACTGAGCCTTTAGTTGTCATTTATAAGGGATTTATAAAGCATGAGTAGTCCACACTTTAGATTAGGTCACAAAACTGCATGAAGTTGAGTTAATAAAGCATTTATTAACCTATTAGTTAACTATTAGTATATGCCTGAATAATAAGACATATAAATGTTGATTTCAGTTGTTTATTAACCATTTACTAACTCATTCTGAATGATCCTGAAAACCCTCAACTACTCTTAAATACAGTTTGTAAATAATGCGATACTTAATTTAGTAATGAAAAATAAATCATTAACTAAGTATGAAAATACAATTATTAAGCACATTATATAGGTGCTTTTAAGTCAAGAAAAGAGCATTTGTAGCTGCAGTTATAAACTGCTTACTAACGTTTATTAATGTAGAGTTAATGCTTAACAAATAATGAATTCACTATTTGCTAATGCTTAGTAAATGATTCATAGGGTTAGTTATTATATTTTATTTATATTATATTCATAGGTGTGTAGTTATTATAAAGTGTTACCTATCTTTTTATTTATTTATTTTTTAGAATTAGCATAATCTATTTTCATAATTCAGCAGATGTAATTCCTCTATTAATCACATTATTTCTGTTTCCTAAGCTTTGCAAGAACCTGATTCATGACATATAATAATCTTGTTCATTATGCTCAAAGGACTTTTACGTTGAAATTAAACTACTTCCTTTTAAAGTGAAATAACTTCCTTTTACAGTGAGAATTCATGCATACACACATATAAAATCGCTTGCATATATGTATATACACAACTAACTGTATATATGTTTGTGAATTTTATTTTGTATGTTTGCACAAGTGTCATTTGGGTGTTTATGCACACATCAAGTTTTCATTCTTATGTAAGAGTTTATGGGTGCAAATGCATGGATAACGTTTATATGTATATGCGAGTGTGTATAGGTGTGTTTGCATGCAGCAAGTTTATATGTATGTGCGTGTGTTAATGTGAGTGTTTATGTGAGGATCGAGTTTATATGTATGCGCGTGTGTATGTGGGTGTATTCATGCGTCAAGTTTATATGTATATACACAAGTTTCATATATGTTGTTTTGAACATCCAATAGTATAGGTGTATATGCGAGTAGTTTATAGGTGTATATGCATGTGTTTTATGTATGTGTTGATAAGCAAAGTTTGATTTAAATCCTACATGGCACCTCATAGCTGATGCGTGTAAAAAGTCACATTTGGACAGCTTTGAAACAATAGTTTTAATCTATTTTACCTGCTTTATCATCGTTGAACTAATACTGTTGTCGATCAGCACCATCTCCTGGACTGAACATTTTAAAAAAATGCAATCTAATCAATAGAGTCTGGATGCAGCCTTTATGATGCAAGCTGAGATTGTATCACTCAGCGATGCAATGTCAGACACAATGCACTCAATGGAGTAAGTGACGTCACTGTGATGGGTAGGGTTAGGGGTGGGGTTAAGTGAGCGTATTAAAAACCCTTAGATGCAGCTCAGATTGCACCGCACCAGGTCTGCATCCAGACCCCTCTTGATCTAATGGGATGGAAAACAGCTGCTGTGAGGCCTTTTCCCCTTGTTGCCAGATGGCATCTTCTGCAGTTTAAATACAGCCTCGCCATCGATAAAGTCAACAGTTTCCCTTTCGTTCAAATATATAACCAGCCCAAACAAATGTAATTCACCAAAATGTTTGACACACACACGTAGCCTGTACTGTGCCACTGACACACTGATTTAAAAACTGTGATAAAGTGAAAATATAGGCTAGTGTCATTTTGAAATGACAGAAAAACACAAACCGTGGTAAAAACAACACACAAAATGAAACATAAACGGCTCACGATTAGAATAAACAGCAAATCAGCCAGCAGAGGATCAATAACAGACTTTTATTGGTCATTTTTGTAAATTGCATGACTTACATAATGTTACCTGTTAAGTTTCAAGCCAGTAATCTGGTTTGCTCTATAATGCAGTGAAGTATTGCGCACGTGTGTGTGTGTGAGTGTGTATGTGTGTGTGTTGAAGAGCCGCTGAGCTAACAGCTGACAGGTCGGGAACACACACACTGTATTTCTTATGGCAGACACATGAACTAGGCGAACGTTTTTCTCCAAGGTTTGAACCACATCTGACAGATTATCATGGTGTGGCGAGGGGGCGTGGCCGAGAGCCGTGGAAACGGAATGAGGCTGCCGCGTAAGTGGATACACCTGCGGTGCGCACCGGCCTCGAATCCCACGGAAGGAGCTCTGGACTATAAAAGGAGGAACGATGGCAGAGGAAGCCGAGAGAGGACCGGACCCGGACATATTTTACTTTTGCTTTCAGTATGATGGCAGTCTCCGTGAGGAGCTGCCCTCCGTTTGTTTTGGTTTAGACCAATGTTTCATGTTATAAATAAATATTTTAAAACTGCGTTCTCCACCTCTTCCTCCCCGGTGGCCAAAGGGCCATGAAATTTATTACAAACGGCTTTAACACACACCTTTCAAGCCGTACGTTCACACCGAAAGCGGCGAGAGCGTCAAAGTAGCCGGAAGTCATTCATTTTCAATGAGAGCCGGCGGCGATAAGCGGCAAGGAGCTGCGCGGCGCGTCTTCGCCGGTGTGAGCGTCGAGGAGAGTTGAAATCAAGTCAACTTTATGGTAATGAGCTATGACGCGGTTCGGCGGCAAGCAATCAGAATGAAGACGTCCACCGCTTGATACGAGTTCAGAGAACACAGATCTGTGAACTTTGGTTACGGCCACAAACTGAAAAAAATTATTCAAAGATGATTCCTTTGATTGACTCAATTTTTTTACGTTAAGTAGTTGTAAACAATTTAATTGTGTTGAATTTAAACAAACAAATTAAGTTGAACATTATTCAATTTAATTTGATTGTTTAAATTCAACACAAATAAATTGTTTGCAACAGTTCTGCATGCAACACTTTTTTCAGTGCAGTTGTTCCCAAGGGTTTGATGATTGCGGTCGCCGGATTTCCAATTATTTACAATGTTTTCTTACAGGAACATGCATTTAATAAGTTACTGGCGAGTTACTGATGTTCATTAATGTTATATTTATATACTCACGCGACGTGACAGTACAAAACAGTACAGCTGCTTCAGGATATTTCAGACATATGGACACATATTGGATAAACGGAGCAAAGCCACACCACACGCAAATTGATCTTCCATCGTTATATGAATTTGATAAGAAGTGCGCAACATTTTCACGCTAGAAACATGTTTTATGCAGGAATGTAACTGTATGCTGCAACGGCTCCTTTAAATACGAGATCAATGTAGCGAGTTTTGACGCTCTCGCCGCCGGAGCTGAAGGCAGGCAGCGTTGTCGCCAGGGCGGCCAGAGCAACCTTGGACGTTCTCGCCCCTTTCGGTGTGAACGTACGGTAAGTCGTGTGTCACAAAAACACTCCGTAATACATTAAAAACACTATTGAAACCCATTTTCGGAGCACAAATTACCAGTTGTAAACGCTATAAACAGAAGTTCTAACCATTCTACCGGAAGAAGCTGGCCGCTATGGCGCCCTCCAATCAGCAGCCAAGAAAAAGGTCTATACATTAAGCCTATGGAGTTTCCCTCTAAACCAGGACATGTTTAGTTCTAACTCTAATAAAACACACCTGTCTTTCAGGCTTGTTTGAAACCTACAGGCAAGTGTGTTGAGTAGGGTTGAAACTAAACTGTGCAGAGCTGCGGCCCTCCAGGAACTGAGTTTGACCACCCTGTTCTAAACCATGTATACAACTGTGTGTGTCTGTGAGCAAACACTGACCCATTAGTAGAGATACAACAGAATATTATAGTTCTAATGCTTTTCCTATTGAAGTAAATATTTGAAAATTTGATAGTAAATAATGACAATTTTGCCCATATCGATACTTTAGGATCAGTCCGGACACCCCTAACAAGCACATACTCCTCAATTGTATTATTTTCTGATGTGTTCAGGCAGTTTTAGGAGACATGTACGTATATCCGTGACAGGACCTGGAATTTTCCCCATGCTGTCCCATCTGTGCGTCACAGGGTCATATCTGTGAGCGAGTCTGGCTTCACTATAATCCTCCTGACAGTATCCACCCAAAATATACAGCCGTTCCTCCAGAACTGCAGAGGCAGCGCCAACATGAGGCACAGGCAAAGCAGTGAATTCAGTCCAGACATCATGTACGAGGTCGTATACTTCACAGGATAGCTGATTGGTGTAGAATTTCCGAAGGTTGCACACTCCGCCGGCCACATATATTCGGTTCCTCAGGCTCTCCATGCAGTGCTGGGCCCGATCGTGGATCATATCCGAGAGATATGTGGTTCCTCTTAAAGGATGGTAGGCAGACATGGACACCAAGCATTCGTATTTGCAATTAAAACCACCAGAGATGAAGATTTCGCCTCCGCAGACGGTGGCAGCATGACCGCTTAAGGCTTGATCTAGAGGATGAGTGAAGCTGATGGAGAGGATGGAAAAATCGATGCTGAGTAGCTTTTATTAACCCTTGTCTACTGTTCAAATTGAGGTTGACTGGTTATGTTAGTGGCTGTTTTTATTTGTTTTATTAATTTATTGGTGGGAAGAAATAATTTGTAAGAGACAATGTTTGACAAACAAATGAATTCTCCATCCTTTAATTTAAAAAAATGTTGTTGTAATGCATAGATATATACACTAGATATGGCATAGGGACCCTGAGCATGCGTCAATAGCGCCGCCACATTGGTACAGTGCTCCCAGGACAAGTGTCATTCAACCGCACTAGTCAAGACAGTGTTATTACGTGAAGATGCGGGACTTTAGCGCTGTCTACGGGCGATGTAACGAGCAAACAAAGAAAACAAAGCACAAAGGAGAACATTTCATAGGTAACATTAAGTTTTTTCTGTTTTTGTATGTTCTGAACTGTTGTGCTAATCAGGTAACGTTATTGATGATAACAGTCACTTACTGCATTCATCATACGGCAAAGCAGCTCCAACTCGCACTAAACACTCGGCTTATGCTAGTTTTGTTGAATAAAATCAGCAAGCAATGCAAAAGAAATATGACAACGAGATGCTGCGCTGCCAGAAACTTGTATTATTGTCGGCTAACGTTAGTAAAAGAGTCGTTCGGTAAATTCATTCACAAACGAATCGCTCCCTCCGTCAGTATGAGAAGTGAAAGCAAGAGAGGAGCTGTGTTTCAGGACATGATTAGATCAAATTTAACAGGGAGGGTGAATAGTACATTTCTGCACACACAAACACAAGATTTTTGTCAGGAATGCCAGTGCGGTACTGATCCATCAATGTAGAAAAGTGATGTAAAATTATAATTTTCGTAATTAGAAAAAAAAAAATTACATACTAACATCCAGGAAAACTCCCGATCACAGATATGTGTATATGTGTATATCTCTGGCTTTGTGTATATTTCTGGCCACAGTCCTCCACTGTACCTTGGTCCCGCATTCATTTCAAAGGAGCGCTACCCTGTAGCAAGATGGCGGCGCTATTGACGCATTCCGCCCAATAGACAACAATAGGCCAGGGGACATCTAATGTATATATCTATGGTTGTAATGTATGCTAAAGGGCCACTAGGTGTCAGTCAGTTCATTGCTTCTGTACACTGTATGTATTTCCTCAAGGAACAGCCAGAACAAGGTTAATCATTACTCAGGAATCTTTAAGGAATCATTCACTTGCTCTTTAATGCTATTGAGGTTTTCCACCTACCTCCAGGAATTAGTCTCTGGTGAGTATTTCTCCACGCTGTCCAGGTTTGTGTTGATTTCTTTGTCTCCTCCGACTGCGTACAGGTTTTCTCCATTCACCACCAGTGTGAAGTTACTCCTGAGCTCCAGAAGATCTGACAGCTTTTCCCACTGCTCTCGCACAGGGTCGTACCTGTTGATGTGCCAGTGAAATGTAAATAAAAAAATAAGTGAGAGAACAGTTGAACAAATACACACTGAGAGTAGAGAGATCATCATTAACTAGAATTTAAACCAGCAGCGGACTGGGACTAAAAATCAGCCCTGGCATTGTTGCCACCCCAGCCCACATTACCACACCGACACAGCCCCACCCAAGGACACTCACATTCACTACCTATATTGGTGTACAGATGGTAAAATTATGTAAGCCGCACCTATTTAAGAGATATTAAACATTTAATGGATGTGACTGGAACAAAAACAACCCATTTATATATGCAATCATGTCATTATTTTTTTTTTCGGCTTAGTCCCTTTATTAATCTGGGAATCGCCAACTTATCCAGCATATGTTTTACACAGTGGATGCCCTCAAAGCTGCAACACATTACTGGGTTACCCAACTCCCAATTGGCCTACCCAATTCACCTATAGCATGTGTTTGGCCTTGTGAAGGAAACCAGAAGGAAACCCACGCCAACATGCAAAACAATTTAATTAAATACGAATTAAATACCTGGAAATGTGGATTTTTTTTTGCACACACAAAAAACGCAGGTGACCAAGCAAAGCCTTAAGCTCTCACTGTTAAATTCAATAGAATAGAAAGCTTATTTTTTTGCACCTTTACTTAAATTGTTGCTTAATTTTGTCTCTGTCATTTCAATAGTATTTTTAAGAAGTTTTTTAATTGTTTTATTTTCCAAATACAGGCCTGTTTAATTTACTTTCTTAAAGAAGGTTTAGTTTAACAAGTTGAAACAAAAGAAATACATTAAAAAAATAGTTTACTTGGTAAAATTTGCATTTCAGTTTAATTTAAAACTTTTATTCCAAATATCGTGATACATATCGAATCGTGAACATTATGTCGTGATACACATCGTATCGTGAGCTGAGTGTATCGTTACACCCCTAGCAATAATACATTTTATATGTCATAAAATATTTTTAGATTAATATTTTACTCAATCGATTTAATGGTGTGTATTTGCTTAATTTTCCAATATAGTAAAATATAGTAGTTTATAATCAGTTAAGATAATCATCTAATAACTATATTATATATTGTTTAGATCAGGGGTTTTTTAAAGTGTGAGGCGCGCCTCCCCTGGGGGGCGCCAGAGCATGTCTGGGGAGGCGCGGGAAAAAATATTATATAATAAAAATAGAATTATTAAGTTTAATTATTATATGTATTTTTTATTATATTTAAACATTTTAATTAAACAAAGCTAAAAAAATAATACGTCAAAAATAAGAAAACCTTTTTTACCCAGAAGGCCATAGCTGTGAATTCGCTTCTGTTTGGCAAGCCCGCCAATACAGGTATATGCCTGCTAATACAATGGATCGGTTTCTGAGACCCCCCGATTCAAAGCCTTCAAGTTCAGGGCTTAAACCCAAAAGACGACCATATGATGATCAGTATTTCAGTTTAGGATTTACGTGGACAGGACCAGCTGATGAACCAAGATCTTTATGTGTGGTTTGTCAAGATATTTTGGCTAATGACAGCATGAGACCCGCTAAACTTCGGCGACACCTTGAAACCAAGCATGATGAGGTAGCGGGAAAACCTCCAGAACTTTTTGTGTGTGTGTGTGTGTGTGTGCGTGCGTGTTTGGGAGGAGGGGGGCGCCAGTGGATAAGTTGTGTCAAAAGGGAGGCCCACTGTCTTAGACTTTGAAAAACCCTGGTTTAGATGATTAATTATAGAAATTTTTTATTGTGACACGTTATTGTTCAACATTATTAATACAAAATGTGGGTGTGCACTAGGATGTGTTAAAAGCAGAGCACCAAAGTATGGGTAAAACCACACTTGACAAAGGCTCACTTCACTTCAGTATAGTGATTCAGGGAGCCCTCAGATTACATCTAAATGACCTTCATTTGTGTTCTAAAGATGAACAGAGTGAAACATCAGTATTTATTAACGGCATTTATTGTAAGTTGGTGTATCCAGTGCATTACCTGTACACAGACTTCATGATGTCAGCCTTTGAGTAGAAGTAGCATCCTCCAGCGATATATAGTTGTCCATTAAGGACTCCAACGCCGTGTCTGAATCTGGCCTGATCTGGCATTTCTCCCAGCAGTCTCCACTCCATCTGCTTCACAAGTCCAGTCCCGCTCCGCAGAGAGTTCACAAACCAGAGCTGCTTACTGGGCCGCCTTCGACCATTATCAGCATCCAGTTCATCACCGCCAACCAAAACCAGAGCGTCTTTTGGGTAACGAACACGCTGCTGTGCTACATGATCAGAAACGCCAAACTCTTTCAGCGCTGATTTATAGAGTTCAACGTCGTATTCCCCGCTACACTCCATGGTCAGGTTAACTGCTCGGACTTCCTGAAATTCTCTGAAGGTCATGAATGGGAAACGCACTGCTTTCATGAGCTGCTCAGCCTGCAGGAGACGCTCAGCAGGATCAGTCTCAATCCAAGACACAACCGCTCGAAAAACCGCCAGTTCTGACGGTACAGACAAAGCATCACAGCGGAGGAACTGCAGGAGCTTATCTGCTGGCAGGTCCTGGAACTTTGGGGTGGCTGAAATCTCCTGAAAGTGCCTCAAGACAAAATCCTCAGCCATCTCCATTATATCCACCATCCCGTAGGCTTCAGCGAATGACGCAACATCTAGGCAGTTGTGTACGTCCATTTCTTGCTGCAGAAACTGAAGGCAGAGCGAGACAGCGGGCTGGAACTGGAACTGCAGAGAGGTGCAGGTCAGCTCAAACACACAGCTCCAGCTGAGCTCCAGAGCACCGCTGTAACAGCATTTGAGGAGGATCTCCAGCTCAGCGGCTCCGGCTGATAGTAGAGACACAGACTCCTCACGACTCTCCTTCATCCCTCTGGTGAACATCCCTCTGAAGTATTCACTGCTGGCTGACAGGAGCGCCCTGTGAGCTTCAGGAAAGTGAAGGATTGAAAGTATTACAGACAGTAGCTATGTTTCCATCCAAATATGACAAATTAAATGTAGGTGCAAAACATGCATAACATTTTTGCAAATAATGCTGCATTTCTGTCCATACAACGAGTAATGCCGAGTTCAGACTGCATTATTTTCAAAGTAGTCGTGTCACAGATGTTTTCACACTGCATGACTATCTGGGCTAGCGTTTCGTCGCTGCTTTGTTTACACTGCAAGATGGATCGGCGACAGGGACATTCACATTGCATGACTTTACTATAGAAAAAATCGCCGACAACTTCGTCCAAACTACGTCTCACAGCCAAAAACACGTCGTATATATTTTGTTATAAACTGCATAATGAGAAAGAAGCCTTTAATGGGGTAGAAAATGTCCATATTTGCTCACCTGGGTTTAAAGGGAATTACCCATTTCTCCTCAACGTTGATAATTCATTACTGTCGGAGTGTAGACGGCAGAGACGCCACGCTGTATTGGCAAAACAAGCGTGAAGTGTTGCTTTTATAGTTTGCTGCCGTTAAGTTTTGTTTTCATTTTCTCTCTGTGAGAGCTCAGACTCACGTGTGGATTAACAGTGTACGCGACGCTCGACAACAATAACTTACGTGTCTAAGGAGGATTTTTGTTTACCTGAGAGCTGTTCTCATCTGTAAACGCTGAGATCCGGATTCGCTTGTAGTCTCCTCTAAATAAAGACGCGGCTCTAGTTGCTGGTGATTGTCCTGTCTCTACAGATTTGGTAAGTGAGCGACCAGTGCTCTTTGTTTATTCAGTTTGTATTTTATTCATATCAAACAAGCTATTGCACCGAGTGTAAACAAGTTAGCACTAACAGTTACAACCAAACTATAACCTCGTGTTGGATTTAGTGACCGGAATAACACACGCGGCTTTCTGACGCTACCTGCCGTGTGCATCTAAGTTTCCGGGAAATGCTAAGTTTTTTTTTCTCTCGTTCGCCGTGCGGTATCAAACATTGCATGAAAAATACACGCTTAGAGCAGTTCCTCGAATCAAATATCACGTTTGTCGCGAGGGACATGAATGAATTCCCTGAATGAAAGAGCCAAACTGCAGTTAAAGTCCACCATTAATAATTTGGCAAATAATTCGACTAGAGATGTCCATGTAAACACAGTCACATTGTCCGCTGTGGTTGTGTATTTAGACTCTGAAATTCAGCGCGCCCAAATAGACACTCCCACACCAAGCCTCTTTTCTTCCTCCGACACTCCCCCCTAAACAGAGCTGGACACGCCCACTTTTCTGACTTTTTCCAAAGTAGAGGTGTGAAAACACCCTGCTGAAACGAGGGGGTTTCATGGCCCTTTAAATGATGAATGGATTTAAAATAATTCTCATAATATCTTACCGTGGAAAACAGTTCCTTCAGCAATCAGCTTCACATCACACCTCAATCTCTTATCCCAAAAATCCTTCATGCACTGCAGGCCGACCGTCATCTGCTCTTCAGCTAAGCTCTTCCTCACTTCATCTCCTTTATTCTCTTTTTTGAGCAGCTCCAGGACTCTTGGAGCTCCCAGACTCTCCGCTGCCGTCTGAATCTGCATCATGTTGTCTATATTCAGATTACTGATGCCTCCAGTGTAGGCGAACTCCACCACTGCAACCAAACCAGACCTGCACACCTCAGGACTCAACGAGATCTCCTTCACATCTTCATCTTTCTCCTGGATGATGGAGCTCACCGCGGCCAGGACAAGCCAATGAACACGAACGCTCATCCCATCCTCAGTGCTGAGGGTCAGATCTGTGAGAACGTCCGCCATCTTCATCTCCAATAGAGTCTGATGGATCTCACTTGCATAACTCTGCCTGCGATACCTGTGCAGAGTGTTACAAAAGACCATTTCTCCACACTGTTCAAGGTCAACATCAATTCAATCTTTTATTTTAAATCCTCTGTTAAATAGACCCAGGCTCCAATTTAACAGCAGAAAAAAACTAAAAATGTTTTTTTTTCGTTTTTATCTTAAAGTTTGGTGACTTATTCTAAAATGACTCCAACTCTAGAAAAAAAATATATGATTATAATGAAGACTGTACAAGTTTAGAGAACAATGCAGGGGTCATTAAAACTCAATAAAATAAATAAAACATTACAAAAATGAGTGATGCATGGATACAATTAAATCCAAAGGCTTGTGAATTTGCTGACACAGCTGTCAGCTTTTACACATTTTTTCAACTTCAAGTCCTCATGAAATCAAAATAGAGTTTTTTAGATTTTAGCATCAGTATGTTGGTCTTAAAGTTGCCATTAAGAAGTGGAGACTATCATTAAGATTGTCCTTTTTTTCTCATATCGTGCCGTACATGCAATCCTAAAACTGTAGGATGGCGCATGATTTCATCTTTGGGAATTGATTTAATCATTGAAAGATGGGTGTTGGCAACAAAATGGAGAAAGATTGACCTGATAGAAATAATAGATCCACCCTTAAGAACTGACAGCTCCACCGTAACAAACTGAGTGCTCCGCCCTAAACAACTAATAGCTCCACACTTATGCCGAGTTCAGACTGCATGATTTTCTAACTAGTCGTGTCACAGATGTTTTCACACTGCAGGACTATCTGGGCTAGCGTTTCGTCGCTGCTTTGTTTACACTGCAAGATGGTTCGGCGACAGGGACATTGACATTGCATGACTTTACTATAGGAAGAATCGCCGACAACTTCGTCCAAACTACGTCTCACAGCCAAAAACCTGTAGTATATCTTTTGTTATTAACTACATAATGAGAAAGAAGCCTTTAATGGGGTTGAACATGTACATGTTTGCTCACCTGGGTTTAAAGGGAATTAGCCATTTCTCCTCAACATTGATAATAAACTAATTTCTTTCTGTATGAAATGTCAAACAGACACGGTTGCTCCTGAGTCCTGTCAAACCTCCACTAGTTTTTCCTCCATTTTGTGGGTCCAAATAAACCGAAAAAAGAGCTCTTTTAACTTCTCCCCCAGCCTCCCGCTGGCCTGCAGCAGGTATACACACACGCACACACAAGTGAATGCTGCTCTCTCATTGGCTGTAGGCGATCGCTGATGTTATTTTCAGTCAAAACTCAATTCACACGACATGATTTGAATCGCCGACAGCTCCAGATATTCAGCATGCCAAATATCTCGCAGGCATCGGCGACTCATCGGCGATTCTCTCAGATCGCGTCTTTGATTGTTCATACTGTGTGATTGTCACTCACGTGCACGAGCAGCGATTTGCCTGTGATTTTCAGGCATTTGTCGGCGATTTCTCAAAACCTGTCGGCGAGCCAAAATCGGGGCTAAAATCACGCAGTCTGAACTAGGCATTAAGAACTGACAGCTCCACCCTTAAGAACCGATACCTCCACCTTAACAAACTGATTGCTTTCTCCCAAAGAGCTGATAGCTCCGCCCTTAAGAATTGATAGCTCCACCCTTAAGAACTGTTAGCTCCACCATAACAAATTGATTGCTCCGCCCTAAAGTACTGATAGCTCCACCCTAAAGAACTGACAGCTCCGCCCTAAAGTACTGATAGCTCCACCCTAAAGAACTGACAGCTCCGCCCTAAAGTACTGATAGCTCCACTCTAAAGTACTGATAGCTCCACTCTAAAGTACTGATAGCTCCACTCTAAAGAACTGGGGTCCGTTCTTCGTACCTCGCTAAAAAGATCTAAGATGATTTGGCAGATCCTGGATCTTTTAATCTTGATAACTGTTCTCTCGCTTTTTTTTTTTTTTTTTTTGGTTCTTCAAACAAGTTCGTGAATCAGATTAGAATGTCTGGATAAACTGATCTGAGATCGCTGCGTGTGTTGTGAAGGACAGATCTATCGATCCTCGTGATCAGCAATGCCATGAAGCATTTTGATATTGGTAAAGGCGTCTGAAACTTTTGTGAAGCATCAAATCACCGGCATATTAACTATCACAACATGTTTATGACTGCATAAATGTATTATTGCTTTTAAAAAATCACATATTGTGCATTTCTATTATACACAATTTGTACTAAGCGATCTAAAAAGTTCATATCAATACCTTTTCTCTTTACCACCAGGTGGCAGTCTTTGTACTTTCATTTCGAGGGGTGTAGATTGCACAAGTTTTATCAATATGTTTATTTATTTTATTAATAAATATAACTTTATATATATATATATATATAGTTAAAAATATTTTCCATTTTCTCAAGTGTATATAACTACTACTGTAAGAAAATATCAGAATTGGGAACATACTTTCTGTATTATCTTTGCTTGAACTGAGCCGATATAATTCTGTTTATATAAATTGAACCTGCTCCCGGATCAGGTTTGACCTAGCAGAACTGTTGCTATGACAACAACTCTCGGATCAGCTTTGAAGAACGAAACAATCCTGGATCATGTCAAATCGTCAATATCCAAATCCAGCTAACTGACTGATCCACGTACGAAGAACGGACCCCTGCTCTAAACAACTAATAGCTCCGGCCTTTAGCAATGATAGCCACGCCCTAAAGGACTGATAGCTCCGCTCTAAAAAACTGAAAGCTCCGCCCTAAAAGACTGATAGCTCTGCTCTAAAGAACTAATAGCTCCGTCCTAAAGGACTGATAGCTCCACCCTAAAAGACTGATAGCTCTGCCCTTGTTATGTCCCTTTATGTATTAATACTGCTCTTTTTACTTTTGGGAGGTGTTTTGTGTCTCTCCAGGAAGCAGCTGCTTGCTCCTCTGTTTGGTCCTGCCCCTGCTCCAATTGATGCCACACCCTGCCTAGTCAGCTGACTCCTTGCTGCCTTTAAATTCTTCCTCTGTCACTTCCTGTTTAGCTGTTTTGAGCTCACTTGTGGTTGGTAGCGGTGTGTTTATGGTTATATTGTATGTTAGATTTGTTGAATTGGAGTTTGTGTTAAGTGTCTGAGAAAAATAAGTGAAAGTATTTAGTGCTTTAGTTCTGGCTTTGTTAACGTTAAAAATCTGACCTCTGCCTGTTGATTGATTACTCTGCTGTTTTGCCCCTTTTTGGATTTGTTTGCTGATTGTAAATATTTGTACATAGTAAGTAGGGAGTTTGACGCCATTTTCTTGTGTACCTTCTTTAATTGATTGTTTTTGTGGACAAGGGAGTAAGGTAACAAAGTGTATTTTAATTTCTTTCTTTTTGCTGAAAATTGGGAATTTGGAGGGGATTTAAATTTAGATTTTTTTGTTTATTAATTATAATTATAGTTTTGTTTATTGTTTTGGCCTGGTCAGCTCCTGAAGTTGAAAAAAAGAAACACATTTTGTTTGAGAAAAGCATTGTGTAAGTAAAATCTTTATATATTTTCTAAAGCAGCATTGTATGTGTTAGTCTTCCCTTTCATGTTACGTCCTTACCCCTAGACGGAGCGTAACAGCCCTAAAGCACTGATAGCTCTGCCCTAAAGGACGGATAGCTCCACTCTAAAGAACTGATAGCTCCGCCCTAAAGGAATGATAGCTCCACCCTAAAGCACTGATAGCTCCGCCCTAAAGGATGGATCGCTCTGCCCTAAAGGACGGATAGCTCCACTCTAAAGACCTGATAGCTCCGCCCTAAAGGAATGATAGCTCCGCCCTAAAGGAATGATAGCTCCGCCCTAATGGACTGATAGCTCCACTCTAAATAACTAAAAGCTTTGCATTAAATTACTGACAGCTCCGCCCTAAAGTACTAATAGCTCTGCCTTAAATATCTGATAGCTCCGCCTTAAAGTACTAAAAGCTCCACCTTAAATATCTGATAGCTCTACCTTAAATAACTGATAGCTCCGCCCTACAGGCCTTCCATGTGACCAGAAGTGAAGCCAAGTCATTTCAAGGGGGAGGGAGGATTGTGGTATTTGGTAAAAGATCATGAAGGCAAATATTTTTTTACAAGATAACAAAGTGCACAGATATATCATTTATAAAAAGCACTGGTATATAAATATAAAATAAGAAGAACACATTTTAATTTCATGCTGACTTTAAATGTATCTTTATAGATGGTGTGCTCCATCTTTATCAAGCACAGGTTTGAAGAATCTTCACTTTGGTATCTACAGTACCTGTGCATTGGTTCATCTTCCTCAGCATTACCGTGTTCATTATCCTTCTCTTTCATTCCCATCCTGCCGTCGTTGTAGGACACGATCCACTTTAACCTTCGCTTCTCCTCCTCCTCAAACTTCTCTCCTCCCTCTTCCATCATCCTTTTCCTGCGCTCTTTCTCTCTCCTCCAGCGCTCCTCCCATTCCAGGGGCAGATATTTTCGTGTAAACTCCATCCCTTGAGTGTTTTGGTTTTAGTATTACTGCTTATTGTGGCGTTTTCCTCTGGGATTTATTCTTGTTTTATTAATACTTCTCTGTTTAATAATACTTCTCTGTTTTATTAATACTTCTCCATATTGAGTTTTCCCCAGTTTGTTTCTTCTTTCAGTAATACTTCTTGTTGTGGTGTTCTCCTCTCACTCGATTTGCTTTAGTTATAGTTATACGTCTCCTTATTGTCAGTCAGTTTTGTCCACAACCCATATTGTCATGTTTTCCTCTGGGGTTTATTCTTGTTTTAAGGATACTTCCACTTATTGTTGTGTTTTCCTCAGGATTTTATGTTTGTTTTAGCTAAAATGTTTTGCTATATTTCTGGATTTTATTATTGAGTAGTTCTATAGTAATATTTTTCACATTGTGGTGTTTTCCTCTAGGATTTTATTCTTGTTTTAGTAATTCCTCTCCATGCTTTTGTGTTTTCCTCTGGACTTTTGTCTTGTTATAGTAATACTTGTTGTGGTTACAATCAATTTTGTCAATCAGGTTTGTACATAATCCATATTGTCATGTTTTCCTCTTGGATATATTTTTGTTTTAGGATTAATTCTCCATATTTTTTTTTTTTTTTTGTTTTCCTCTTGTATTTAATCTTGTTTTAGTAATACTTTTCCAATTTTTTGTGTTCTCCTCTGGAATTTATCTTTGTTTTAACAATACTTTCCTTTAATGTCATAATTTTCTCAGGATTTTATTCTTGTTTAAGTGATAATTCTCCTTATTGTGAGTTAAATCAGTTTTGTACCTAATACTTAATGTTTTGTTCTCCTTTGGGATTGATTCTTGATTTATTAATACTTATTCATATTGTTGTGTTCTGCTCAGAATGTTTGTGCTTTCCTTTTTTCTTGTTTTCGTAAAACTTCTCCTTATTATCGTCTTTTCCTCTGCAGTTTATTCTTCTTTTAGCGATACTTCTCGCTGTTTTGTTTTCCTCAGAATTTTATCCTTGCTTTAGCAGTACTTCTCCTTTTTTGTGTTTTCCTCTGGGATTTGTTCTTGTTTTAGTAATACTTGTTGCGTTTTCCTCTGGGATTTATTTTAGTTTAAGTGTTGCTTCTCTGTATTGTCGTGCTTTTTCCTCTCTTTTTTTTTGTTTTATTATTACTTTTTCTTTTTTTGTTCTCCTCTGGATGTTATTCTTGTTTTAGTAACACTTGTGTTTTCCTCTGGATTTATTCTTGTTTTGTTAATACTTATCCACATTGTGGTGTTCTCCTCAGAATTTTATTATTGTTTTATCCTTATTTTTGTCAAGTCCACTGGGATTTTTTCTTGTTTTAGCAGTACGTCTCCTTATTGTGGTGTTTTCCTCTAGGATTTGTTCTTGTTTTAGTAACACTTGTTGTTGCGTTTTCCTCTGGGATTTTTTCTTGTTTTAGCAGTACGTCTCCTTATTGTGGTGTTTTCCTCTAGGATTTGTTCATGTTTTAGTAACACTTGTTGTTGCGTTTTCATCGGGGATTTACTTTAGTTTTAGTGTTACTTCTCTGTATTGTCGTGTCTTCCTCCAGGATTTATTCTTGGTGTAGTAATATTTCTCCTTTTTTCTTGTTTTCGTAAAACTTCTCCTTATTGTCGTCTTTCCTCTGCGATTTATTCTTCTTTTAGCGATACTTCTTACTGTTTTGTTTTCCTCAGAATTGTATTCTTGCTTTAGCAGTACTTCTCCTTTTTTTGTGTTTTCCTCTGGAATTTATTGCTGTTTTAATAATACTTGTGTTTTCCTCCGGGATTTATTTTAGTTTGAGTGTTGCTTCTCTGTATTGTCGAGTTTTCCTAAGGGATTTATTCTTGTTTAGCAATATTTCTCCTTTGTTCTTGTTTTTGTAATACTTTTCCATATTTCGGTGTTTTCCTCTGGGATTCACTGTTGTTTCAGCAATTCTGTGCTTTTGTTTTTCTCTGGATTTTATTCGTTTTATTAAAACATTTTCCTTTTTTTTTTTTTTGTTCTCCTCTGGATGTTATTTTTGTTTTAGTAAGTTTCTTTTTTCTTCTGGATTTATTCTTGTTTTATTATTACTTCTTGTTGTTGTGTTCTCCTCTGCGATTTATACTTGCTTTAGCAGTACTTCTTCATATTTCTGTCTTTTCCTCTGGGATGTATTGTTGTTTCAACAATTCTGTGCTTTGTTTTCCTCTGGGATTTGTTCTTGTTTTAATGTTACTTCTCCTGATTGTGGTGTTTTCTTCTAGGATTTGTTCTTGTTTTAGTGTTACTTCTCCTGATTGTGGTGTTTTCCTCTGGGATTTGTTCTTGTTTTAGTGTTACTTCTCCTGATTGTGGTGTTTTCCTCTGGGATTTGTTCTTGTTTTAGTGTTACTTCTCCTGATTGTGGTGTTTTCCTCTGGGATTTGTTCTTGTTTTAGTGTTACTTCTCCTGATTGTGGTGTTTTCTTCTGGGCTTTGTTCTTGTTTTAGCGTTACTTCTCCTTATTTTTCTGTTTTCCTTTGGGATTTCTTCTTGTAGTAATATTTCTCCTCTGTTCCTGTGTTAGTAATACTCCTTATTGTCGGTCTCTGTTTTCAGCGCTCGCTCTTGTCTGAGATCTTGCATGCTGTATTTCTCCCAAGTCAACAACATGCTAATTATAGTGTCTGGGTCAGTAGATCTCATTTCAGCAGGGGTCAGGCTCTGCTGCTTAAAGTTTGTATCAGTACACAATTATTACAAAGTAAGTGTGTGTGTGTGTGTGTTTAGGTCTTTTAGTTGCAGAGGACGCGCTATACTTTGTCATTGTCTGTCATTTTGACGGAGAGGGTTGTAAAAATTCCGTCATAACCTATTATTGACTGTGAATTCATTTGCATATTTTCTAATCACTTTTTTCATTCATGTTTTAATAATGAACTTGCATGACGAGCATATAGGCTAAATTATTCACTAATTTATTTAACAAATTTTACTCATATCTGCCTTACCCAGGCCCGGATTGGCTAATCAGGAGGACCGGGAGAATTCCCGGTGGGGCGGTCCGTTTTTTGGCCGCGAGGGCCGGTGTCCCTAGCTCCAGAATCTGTTGCTCTCAGCAGTCACACTTTTTAAATACAATTTATTTATTTACTTGACCACAGTCTTCTTATTTATTATTTTACCGCAGCTCTGCTCTTGTTATCTATGTAGATAAGTCACCGTTCAATGTACAGCTGTTGTGGTACAGTGGTTAGCACGTTATATTATAATGCGGCCAACCCGGGTTCGGTCCTCGTCTGAGTAACATTTTTTTTCATTTTCATTATTAAGACATAATACTATAAGGGTTGTTGAACATTTAAAGTTTTAAAGCAGCTGTTTTCTCAAAAAAAGACGTGATAGTGTAATTAGAAACAGAATTGGAAATTACCTTATTCTAGGATAGTCAGTGGTGAACTGAGGTGGGCCGGTCTAAGGCTTAAAAACTCCAAGGCTGAAAATGAGTCCCACTCCAGCCCTGGCCTTACCTCATTTCTTCCTCCTCCGTCGACCTGAACTGGGTGCTTGGCTGTGCGTAATCAAACGCATCAAGAAAGACTGATGCAGAGGCAGTTGTCATTAAATTCAGTGTTTTTGCCTCGGAATGTCGACTTCTCGTGACAGTTTTAAATGTGTTCTGGAGGCTGAAGCCGCGTTCTGCTGCCATACTGGAGAGTCATTGCCAGAAGCAGCCCGGACTCTACAGACAGACTCGGGCCAGATATGGTTAACAGGAATCAGGCCAGTGCTTTACAGCCGCATCACAAAATGCATGTGCAGGAGCAAGCTGCGGGCCATACTCGGCCCGGATAACACTCGCCGATGCCGAGTCGGAGCCGGACTGATTACTACCTGCTATCTGGGTAGCGCCACTTCAGCAGCGTTTTGTAGTTAGGAAACATTTCTCCTAGGGAAGTGATCAGAAGTTTGCTGGATTTTCTGAATGTGGGATTTCTTAGTCTTGCAAGCACTCGCTTTCCGGGAAAAAACACTGAGGCATGTGCTCCTTCAGCATCAGGGGCGCGGCTTCACTCCTCTGCGTTCGGTAGTGCATGGTGCTCACAATGCACTCCAAACCACCTGACCTCCTTGTTGCCGCTTGGTTGGCCCGTATGAACAGTTGTCGGAGACTGAGGAAATTTGTCTGTTTCTTCCTCATCGTCCACTGCATCACTTCCTCCATTTTCACCTTTGCTATTAATATTGCAACTATTTGGCCGTTTAAAGAAACTTCTCACACTGAGCTGCTGTGAGATTTTTGCAACTGTACGCAGCGGTGACAAAACAAGGGCAATCGCCATCAGCTGGACAGGAGTGGGAATTACAGTTAGCTACAAATTACAATAGATCCCCCTCAGCATGATCCGTCAAAATGACGGATCACCTTCAGATGTTTCCGTCACTGCTGAAAAAATCCGTCAATGATGGAAAATATTCGGTCAACGTGACCTCTGTTTAGTTGAATTGAATTGAATTTTATTTGACAGATTTTAGACAAACTGTACAAAAAGTATTCCATACACTTTGTTAAAAAAAAACTGTCGAGGATAAAAACACAATAAAGCCCTGTGCTTATTTCCATTGTGGTCCTCTGTTAAATAAAAACAATGTATGGCTTCAAAATACTAATGAAGAAATAAAACAAACAGTCGCCACAGCGGTACGAACAGTCAACCCATCCAGCACATGTTCCACACAGCCAATGGCCTTCCAGCCGCAAACCTATTCACACTCAAGTAACATATCATTTAAAAGATCCTCCACCATGCAAACTAATTATCCTCATCAAACAACCATCTTTTGATAGCTTTTTTGAACAACCTTAAATCTTTTATTTCCTTGATTGATTTTGGTAGTTTGTTCCACATGATTGCACTCGTATATAAAAACATATTTTTCCCCACTAAACTTCTAAATTTAAATAAACAAATATTAAAATCCCAACTCCTAGTACTGTATGAATGCTGTTGCCTCACCATTTGAAAATAATTCATCAAATAGCTAGGAAGCACATTATTAAACATTTTACGTACCATTCCCAGTTTTAAAAAACACACTCTATTACTAACAGTTAACATACCTAATTTATTAAAAGACTCTTTGTGCAAATGTGCTCTAGGATGCATTTTTAAAATTATTCATACTAATTTATTTTGTGCCTTTTGCAATTTCTCCTTCAAATTTTGTGAGCAGCTACTGTACCAAAATGACGAAGCATAATCAAAATGGGGTTGAATTAAAGCTCCTGCCAACAATTGTAAAGAATGAACATCCAACAGATCAGATTGCCTTGCTAAAGACCTAATTTTTCCACAAATCTTCGTAAAAACTTTTTTTGCCATAGCATCTCCTGATAATTTATTATCTATTAAACAACCCAAATAGTTTATCACATTTTTTGACTGAATTTTCCAATCATTAATCTTAGCTACAAAATTATCATCTTTTTTTAATTTCACTCTTGAAGCAAATAAAATAGCCTCTGTTTTACCCATGTGTAAAGAAAGTTTGTTGTCTAAAAACCAGTTGTAAACACTTTTTAACTGTGAACTCATAATTTCTTCCAGTTGTGTGATAGTTCAGCCAAAAAGTCAGTACCTTAGTAGAGAAATATGACAACTGACTAGTCGTCATTATTTGACAGGTGGTACATTTTAATTGTTATACATTTAAAATCTTATAAGTCAAATGTTTTTTTTTTCACAGCCTCTAATACAGTATACAGAGTTTATGAAAAGACATGCATGATTAAATAAGGAAGTTAAAATTATTTCAGTAGAGTAAAGGTGTTATTAACTACATGGTGATATTTTAATTTAAATATACATTTAGGAAACCCACAATGCTCAGAATCAGAGTTTATGAAACATGTTTTCAGCTGGAGTTTGACCTTGAGGAAAGCTGAATGCTGTATAATACCAGAAACTCAACATTCTTCTCTGTTTACACTGAAGTCATTTTCAGAAAGCTGATTCGTCTTTTGCACAGTCACCGTGTTTCTGTTTAGGGTCAAGCGCTGTTGAAAAACACAACAAATCAGACAGAAATACACCTCTGAAGTAGCACCATATGTACACTCACTGCAAAAAATGCTTTTCTTACTTAGATTTTTTATCTCGTTTTTAGTCCAAATATCTACAAATTCTTAAATCAAGAAGCATTTTCTGGACAAGCAAAACATCTCGTCTTGTTTTGAGAAATAATATGTCAATATTAAGTGAGTTTTTCCTTAAAACAAGCACAATAATCTGCCAATGGGGTCAGCAAAATAATCTTACGTCAAAAGAAAAAACAAGATTAATTTGCTGACCCCATTGGCAGATTATTGTGCTTGTTTTAAAGAAAAACTCACTTAATAATGGCAGATTATTTCTCAAAACAAGACGATATGTTTTGCTTGTCTAGAAAATGCTTCTTGATTTAAGAACTTTTAGATATTTGGACTAGAAACAAGACAAAAAATCTAAGTAAGAAAAGCATTTTTTGCAGTGCTAATACGAGAAATCACTGCGTCTATTTATGAAGCTTTAAAGTTCTCATAAAATACAGAACTATCATCTCGCATCAGCCTGAATAATCACTCGGTCAACAACCTGCAGTCATCTGTGAGCTGGCTATCTCGCATACGAATGACTTTAATCACCAGTGTTTTACGCAGGTTTGTTTTTCTAGTCAAGTCACTTTTATTCCTAAAGAGCTTTTACAATGTAGATTCTGTCAACAGAATACAAAACTATTAAAAGCCATCACAACATTTCAGATTGACTCTGTTCTGGCGATTGATATTTATTCTCCATATATTATCATTCTCCATAAGTCTCCATTTATCTTTATATAGATGCTTCATTTAAGCGGCACGGTGGCTCAGTGGTAAGCACTGAGGTCACTGGCTTGAGCCCAGTCTGGGTCAGTTGGCAATTCTGAGTGGAGTTTGCCTGTTCTCCCTCTGTTGGTGTGGGTTTCCTTTGGTTGCTCTGGTT